CTAGCAGACCCCCCCCAGCCCCCCACTGCCTGGTCACAGAGCCCAGCAGCGGCTCCCAGGGACCGTTTCACAGCAGGGGCTGTGCAGGGCTTGGGGAAGCACCTGCAGAGCCTGGGCAAACGTCCGGCCAGGTTTCAGCTGAGCTGTCCTCATTTATGGGTCAATTTGGGATATTTTATTTTTCTGTCTTTAAACCAAAAACATTGAGAAAGGTTTTTCAGATTTCTTAAATAAGATGTATAATTATAAACCACTATCTTCTTGCTTCCATTTTCAAGCACAATCCACGCTTTTCCCTGCAGGCACAGCATGCCATGTCCTCTGCCACCAGTCAGGCATCTCCATCACCCACCTCACGGGTGCTCCCCCTCCCCACATGGCAAAGTTGTCTGTGGGGGTGCTCAGGCCTTGTTGATTTCCCCCAGAGCTCCTGCCAACCCCTCTCTGTCTCCTACAGCCACAGTAAGGCCAGGTGGCCACAGGGATGGCTTGCAGCAACATAGGTTACTATTTGCCAACTGAAAAGTTTCTCCCACCCGGTTGCACTTTTTCTGGGTTAAATCCAAGCCGAATCCTCCATGGCACATCTCCAAAGGTCAGGATAACACCAGCAAGGTGCCAACTTGACTTTGCCCAGCAAAGAGGGAGGGATGAATGTGCAAGTTTCTCAGACAGCTGAAGTTGTGCAGCATAACCAATAGGTGGGAGCCTTTTACCGGGAGAGCCAGAGCCAGCATCAGGCTGGAGTCATTCAATACACCCGTGTGGGCACCCCGCTGCGGGCACCCCCGTACCCACTTTGCTCGGGGAGGTGTACCTTGAGCCGCAGCCGGCCAACACTGCCGGGAGAGAAGAGACCCCCTACCCAAACACAGGCTGGCAAACCCCACAGACCTAATTCCAGGGGGGTTCCCATGCTGCTGCCCAATGTTGAGGAGGTCCTGGGGGAGCGCCTGCCCCCCACTCACGTCCGGGCACATTCACCCAAGCACTGTCTGTACCCAAAACCTGCCTGAGAGCAAGCACTGCTGAGATCAGACGAGGTGCGTGGGTGATGGCTCAGGCTTATCTGTCATCATAGACAGGGACAAATTTGCATCATACACAGACTTTAATTTCCTATGATTGTATCTGTTTTTTCCCCATTCTTTAAAGCAGACCAGCAGTTTTGAAGAACATGAGGGTGGATCATCTATGCTGGAGTTCTCAGAGATGTGCAGGGTAGCACGAGGCAATCCTGGACAGCCTCTTCTGCCTCTAACAGCAGGGTTTGGCCCAGCACAGCTTCTACAACCAGTTCACCTTGGTTATCTGGGCCCATAGGTCACCCCAGGGGAGCAGAAGAGAGGAGCCTTGGCAGGATAAGGCCACGAAGGGACACAGCCTGTTCTGTGCCAGCCACCTTAGGGATGAAACCATGGATCCAAAACCCTCCATCACCACCCAAAGCCAGCGAGGCAACCGGTTTTCCCTAAACAAGGAAAAATCCCGAAATAAATTATGTAACACCTATAAAAACTTCCAAAGGCAAAACTGAAATAAAACCCCCGAACAGCCGTCACAGAGGAATTTCCCCATTGCTGTAGCATTTTATCCCAGCTTATCCTCCCGTGCTCTGAACATGCACCTGACCGCACCGAGGGAAGCCTCTGCCATAAATCGATCCCTAAATCTGCTGCAACAGCAGTGGCTAATCCCAAGCGCTGAATCATCCCTACCCGTGGCAGCCACGAGAAATAACACAACACAACAGACACAACAGCCCTCACATCACACAGCCCTGCCGCCCTGCCAGCATAACTATGCCAACTATTTTAAGCCCCCTCAAAGGATCTGGATTCGCTCGTAAGCCAAACTGCAAACAGCCCAAGAGCTGTAAAGGCGGCTGCACGGAGCAAACCAGCGCATACAGCCCGGAAAACAGCCAGCCCCTTTCAGCCGCAGGAAACTCTTCCTAGCCCTGTGCAATGTACATTAGAAATCTGGTTTAAAGCCAAAATGAAGGAAATTTCTTTTTCAGCACGCTACAGATGGTTAAAACTAGCTCTGAGTCTATCGCTGAGCAGTTACTAATGTACAACACTATTTTCAATAAAAAGGGAGAACTGAAAGCACAACTCCTGTGCAGGGACCTTAATCATCAGCCAGCATTTTCAAGAGCCGTTCCTGCTAAAGTCACCACGTCCCAGTAAATAAATCTAAGCTTTTCAAAAGTCCAGAAACGGGGAGGCAGGGGTATAAATACAGCTTCAGGAGTCAAATTTAACTCGCTCATTTTTAAAAGAGATCTGAGAAGGGTGGTGAGCGCAGGGACAGTAATATCCAAATGAGGGTTTTTTAGTGTCTTGGCATTTTGAGAGTTGTATCGCTGCAGAGACAGGCAGCTACATGGCTGGTTTTCACCGTGCCACATCCCCCAGAGACTTTGGCAAACATAAGCCCTGACCCGCCCGGCCTCCCAGGAGGCAGCTCCGGGAAACCTGGGCTCTCCTGGGGCTCACAGTGGGCTCCAGCAGCAAACAGGCAGCCTGGGGCGTTCGCTGGAGCAAAGTTTGCAAAATCCAGTGCTGCAACAGGAGCCAAGAGCCAGGATGCAGGCAGGGAGCAGAGGGATAATCCTGTCTTATTTTGGGGGGTACGGATTTATTTCGGCAAAGCACCAAAGCAGCGGCTAGGAAGGATGCCACAGCCAAGGACTGAGGGGTGCCGGGGCCCCGCAGCCGGGCGAATCCGCGTCCTGTGACATCTTGCCCTGTCAAGTG